AAAAAAAAAAAAAAAAAAAAAAAAAAAAAAAAAAAAACATCTCTCAAAGAAAGATATTAAATTGAAAATTATTGAGTGTGGGCGGTGCCGGGGGGGGGGCGTGCGGAAAAAAAAAAAAAGAAGGGGGGGGGGGGGGGGGGGGGGGAAACAACCGTAATGACGTGATCATGGTCAGACACACCGCGCTCCAGTTCTAGTGTGAGTATGCCCTGAGTGAGGGCGTTGATGCCACCCGTGGATCACACCCTGCCTCAGTGGCAGGGCACTACAAGGAAAAGTAAGACAACAAAAGAAAACAAAGGCAACAACATTCACATTCCCCTAATACTGGCCACACGCATTCTAGTATGTGACTCGCCCTCTGGCCTTCCTCGTGGTAGCTGTCAGTTCCTTCATGTTGATTTTCTTCGGAGTCACAGCGACGGGTGTCGTCCCTGCCCGGAGGCTGGAGGCGTGGAATCTCGCTCAACTTGTTAGCCTACAAGATGGCTACAAGTGGCGGTTTAAAACCCGCTCTGGGAAGTCTGGTTTCAACCTAAGTGCATCCTGATAAGAATTGACGGCCACCTCCGGCAAACCACTCTTTACTGACAAGTGGGTGGATTGGTGGAAGATTGGCAGGGAATAGGATTTGACATTCAGATCATGAACCTGAGGAGTTACGAATCACATCGTATACAAACTCACCTGGAGAGTATGCAGAAGATTGCAATAGGCCTCTGGGAAGTCTGGTTTCAAACTAAGTGCATCCTGATAAGACTTGATGGCCATCTCCGGCAGACCACTGCAAAAGCAAAAGGCAGGCAACACAGTTCACATACCCACTTGTGAGTTCTCCTCCGCACGCATCTAATGTTCCATCCCGCATTCGCAGCCCACTGGTGAGTAACCCCATCCCGCTTTTGCAGAGACCCAATCTCATGGACCACAATGCTCTCAAAAGTGCTCTATTACTGACGATACGTGTACACAACCGTACATAACATACCATAAATCACACACTGCAGACGAAAACTTCAAGCCTCGTCTGAGAGTCATCGATCCATAAGCATCATACCTTGTGGACAAACCTTCACGCAAAAGAAAGAAAACAGCAAATCAAGTTAGCAGCATAGTTTTGGGGGGAGCACAACGTTCAGAGGTCATTGAATAACTAAATGACGGCAAACTCCCTCAATAGGCCCTCAAAATCACAAAACTAGCAGCCACTCTAAACTGCAAAATTGCAAAATTAGCAGCCAGATTGAGTTTCTTTAGGACTAGATCCGGTCGTTTATTTTGTGATTCTGCCATTATGAGGGCCTAGTGTGAGTATACTCTGAGCAGTTCATCCAAATCAGTTTGCAAATCGGTTTGGCCCAGCATGATTTTATGCCCTGGCCCAGCATGATTTTATGCCATCTTCCCAGTCTAGTGGTCATCCCTACAAGACACAGGGAGGAGACGCAACGCTCAGTTAGGGTTTTTATAACTTTCCCTGACAAAGTGGTGCATGGTCTATTTTTGTACTACTCACTCGAACGAAGATGAGAATTCAAAATCCCTAGGGGCTTTTAACCAATACACACCTGTCTTTGTATGCTGACGCAAGATTCGCATGGCCCTCAGGAATGGTGGGCCTGACTCTGACAGCTGCAAGATAGTCATTGATTGCTTCCGAGATCTTTCCCATATCCTTCAGTGTGTTCCCCCTGTTGACAAGAGGCTCTGCTGCAAGTGGATCGATCCGAATGACATGGTTGTAACACTCGATTGCATCTTCGAACCGGCCCTGGGACAAGACACACAGTAAATCAATGTCAAAATGCAAGCAAAGATCGCCAAGCAGCCCTTACCCAACATCATCCTCCCCTGCATACAGGCCTAACAAGAAAGGCGTCCACCAAGTGTGAGGACAGAGCACTACCTAACCCCATCCTTCACTCGATCCCAAGATTCTGTGCCCTCGAATATTAATGTTCCGTTACCGTCCGCCTACTTCCTGACCGACACAGTGGGCACTTTGACAAGAACTTGGTCAACCGATGACCAACCCTAAACCCTAAAAGATAGGTTAGAAAGCATGCACACGACCCACGTCACTGAACATCTCTGTTTGTTCATCTGAAAAAACTACTTTTCTGCTATGGAACCGATCTTCTCCCGCTTTTCCATCACCTACCCAATCACCACACCGGGAACACCCTGATCAATCTTTTCCTCAGTATTTTCACTCCATCATCAGGCAAACATGGGCCTACTTCGATCACTGCTGCGATTCAAAGTAGACTGTGAACTCAGAATTTGCTTTGTATTTTAACTGAGCCTTGACATCTTCGCAATGAACTGGTAATGTGCCATATTCTAATTGTGCTGCTGAACAGGACAATGTGCCATTGAGAACGTACCAGACCTCGATGGCTAACGCCACCCGCCAAAAAAGAGAGAAAGTCCGCTGCTGGCGTTCAGAAAAGCTTGACGCACTGAACCACAAGTACATCTGGAGATTTCGAATGAGCCTCTCCAAAAAGTTAGGACAGGGCCCACCTGGGGGCGGACTGAATCTTTTGTTGTCTTCAGGGCTGTGCCCAATGCCACTCCACGGCATGGGACATTTTTTTTTTTCTTCTGCTGCCCCTTCGGACCCTGTCCCGAGCCTCCGATATTCTAGGAGAGAGTCCATCGGATTCTCAACGTGGCTGGGGCCATGTACTGCAGGTTTAAAGCCCCCTTACATTCACAAATTTCACATGCAATCAAATCTGATCAAATGCTAAAAGAACAGAGGCTTTCAGATCATGCAAAGGTATCATTAGATAACTGTCAAGCATTACCCAAGCCAGGCCCAAGCCAGGCAAACACCCAAATTGTACCATCTCTTGCCCCCATCAGCGATTTTAGCAATTCAGGCTGCCCAGCAGCAATCTTGAGAACATTTGTTGCACCTCATCAATCATTTCACCAATTCAGGCAATGCAGAGTATAGAGTATCAAACCTGCAGCTTGTAGATTGTCGCCAGATTGCTGTATGGCGCTGAAAGTCCTTTCGTCACCATTAGTGTTCGCAAATAATAACTCTGTGCTTCTTTCGTCATGTTCCTGCATCCCAGAAAAAAACAAGAAAAAGCGAGACCCCGGTTGTTACCCTAGAAATCAGAGCCGTGCAAGTCGTAAGTGAATGTGGGTGCCATTTGCCAGTAAAATCTGAGCCGTATTAGTCATACCCTACAAATCCGTACCAACAACGGGACAATTACCCTCGGTTGTGATTTGGAATCTAGGTTGAATCCGTTAATTTCCATCCCACACTCCTGCAGGCCTGACTGGTGAGGTTCTAGTGACGTCTTCAAGATTTGAAAGCCTGCTCTTGGAGCCTTCAGTAGTACCATGTCACTAGCAAGGAAAAGACTCGAAGAGCAAGTCTCGCCTAGCCCATTAGGGTGCTGGAGATACAAAGCTCTACACACAAATATCAAAACACAGGATAGGTGGTGAAGGCTGCTTACGATTCCATGTACATGTTGCCAAGATTCGTCAAAGCTTGGGGATGATTTGGATCCAGTTCAAGGCATCTCTGCACATCGAACAGACAGGAGAAAATGAGACTTTCATCCCTCACCTCATCATGGAGCACACAGGCCAGAAAGAAGACTGTGATAAGCACGGTGGCACTTTAATCAGATGCAGAACAGAAAAGGGCATTGCCTTTCACATTCTTTTATCCTCACTGCAAATACTATATATTCAGCTATAAGGTGGAGAGAAAAGCTCAGCAAGTTCTTGCCCTTCTCACATTAGCATGTGGCAGAGTGAGGCCCTTCATCTCACAAACACCTCCACCCACACAGCCAGACCATCAGTGAACTGTATAACGAAGCTGATCTGCATCTAGTCTTTTCAAGGGGACTAGCCACATCTAGACTGGATACAGCTCAGCTCCATTTACCATCCCAACAGCTTTATTTACCATCACGCTCGAGGTAAAACTCTACCAAATCACCAACACCTAAACGTGCCTCCAAAAGTCTGACCCACCGAAAAGCTGTCTATTTCCTTGCAAACGGGCACTACCAACGCTCCCCAGCATGGATGCATCCCTGCCGACCGCCGACCCCGACCCCGACTGCCAACCGTATTGAAGCCGACCAGTAGGGCTGACCAGTCGGCGGTGTGCCGACCAGTCAGAAAACAACCATCCACTAATTTTTTTTCATATCTGAGTTGGAAGCTGTACTGCACTTGCAGAGTACAGCAAAAATCCGCTGAGAAATTTTTGGGGATGGGGGGGTTGGGGGAGGGTATAGGGGTGGTATAGGGGGTACTTGGGGGG